ATTTTTTTAAATAGCTTTAATCGACACTTGAAACTCCTCAAATGATAGCTCAGAAGATAAATTATTGGAGCCAATGCAATCATCCATCGGTGTTAAAAAGTTATTGAACACAACTTGGGTATTATGAATTTTATTTGCTAGCTTGAAAACGATATCAATAAATAATTTGTTAAACTTATGAGCTATTAATCTAGGTTCAAAAATATCTTTGTTATCCACTCTAATCACCTGCGGTAGGGAACCTGAGCAAGTTTTTTGTTTTCCACCAATTTCTCTCAATATTTTCCAAGTACGTTTAGAGTCGTTCTTAACATTTTCAATTAATTTTGAGTAGTAATTCTTTTTTAAGTTTTTACGAGTTTTTTCAAATAGATATTTGTAATCTTTGTATATTTTTTCGTTCAAAGGTGTTTTTGTTTTTAAGTAATTTATATATAGCTTTTGTTTGATCTTAGATGATTTTTTAAAACCCTTAGTCATCCAAGGAACATTAAAGCTTTTTTAATTTATTGTTTTTTCACAGATGGGAAAATTGGCATCATAGACAGAATAAATGTTTAAAAAAAATTTTCATAAATTTTATTTGCGTCGTCGTTAAAATTTATATTCTTCCAATGAAGCAGTGATAATTGTTTTTTAAACTGTTCAATATTGTTTATATTATATATGCGTTTACTTATTCTATTATTAGTTTTGGTTTTAATTTTAGAACTTGAGTTGAATGATAGAAATATTAGGAAATGATCAGATATATCTGCTTTCAATATACCTTTTCGTATATTATTATTGAAGACATTAGTTGTAATAATATTATCAATGAGAGTTGCTGAGTTTGCAGATTCTTTTGTTAGACGATTAATTAGGGGAATAGCTTCTATTTCAAATATTAAATCATAATTTTTTTTTATTTAACAGTCATTCTCGTAGTTTAAAAAATTCATGTTTAGATCGCCAATAATTATTATTTTTTTTTTTCTCTTTAAAGTCTATTTTGATAACATTTTGCTCAAAAAACGTGCTCAGATTCTCACTCAGACCGTCAGGTGGTCGATAGCAGAAACTTAGTAATACATTTATAGATTCATTGTTTAAGATTTCAATAGTTAAAATTTCTTTATCGCCGTTAGAAACGCTTAAATCATTCCTAACGTAATGCGCAATGGTTTCCTTCACGTAAATAAGAAGAAACAATGGTTTCCTTCACGTAAATAAGAGACATACAAATAAACGCCACCGCGTTTATTTGTATGTCTCTTTTGAGATATTAACTCAAAACGGGGAAGATAAAAGTTTGCGTTATTTCTTAAATCGTTTGTGTTTATCCAAGTTTCAGTTAAACAAATAATATTAAAAACATTTTTAGTTTCTTCTAATAAGTAAAGAAGCTTTTCAAAGTTGTGACTTATGCTTCTGATATTTACATGAAGGATTTTAATTTGTTCGCTGTTATTGGAAATAAAAAAGAGATCCTTCTATTTCACTTTGATAATAGTAAAAACAATCATTATTTATATCGTGAGAATATTTAGGGTCTTTTTACGCATTAATATCTATTAAAGTTTTCATTTTTGAAAAATTAAAAGCTTGATGCTTAAAATCGCTAATTTCAGCCATTCCGGTGAGAGTTAGAATCTCCTTTCATTTCAGCGACTACGTTATTTTAATTATGCATATCTTTAACAAAAATTTTATCAAATTTGATTACTGCATACTTACCCTCTTTACGATGCCTTTTAACTTCTTCCCACAATTTTTTGCGATGTTCCAGGGTTTCTTTCGCATAATCTTCATTGATAAAAATCCCATAAAAATTCCAGTGCAAAATGATTGCGGCGTGATCTATTTTCTAGATATACATATTTTTTTCAAAGAATTTATTTCTTCATTGATCTTTAAGTTTAGTTGAGAAAGCATTTCCTTGATGTTTACCTCTTGAAAGTTAATACAATCTTTAATGTATCTTTTTCTAATATTTCAACTCGGGATTTATTAGAACTAAGTTCTTTTTCAAGTTCATCTATTCTGTCTGATATTATTTTTATGTTGGAACTCATTATTTTTGTAAAAGTTTCTTCTTGTTTTTTTAATAGTTTTTCAGTTTCTTTTAAAATATTTTGCTTCTGATCTTCAAGCTTAGATATTATTTCTCAATATTTTTCATTGATATTTCAATGAAAAATATTCAAAATCAAAATTCAAATCACCTTTCAAATCCGGCAACAACTTTAAAAGCAACTTTTACTAATATAAGTTTAAAAGAAAAAACTTTAAAATAATTAAATAAATAAAAAGACAATGACAAACTTTCAATATCCAAATCTTCAAAGTTTCAAATTTTAAGAAATAGGTCGCAACACTGCAACAACTTCCAAAATAACTTTCAAACAACTTTCAACCTATCGTCAGCAAAGCAAACTTTCAGCTTTCAACACAAAACTTTTAACAACAATATAACAAAAATAACTTTCAAAAAACTTTCAACTAGAAAAATTTACAGCAACTTTCAGTTTGACAAACAACTTTCAAACTTTCAAACAAACAAAAAAAAAAGAACTTTCAGCAAAACAACTTTCAACAACAAACAAACTTTCAGCAAAACTACTTTCAAGCAACAAGCAAGTTTTTGAATAAATAATAAAAAAACAGCAAAACCTTTCTTTTTTCTTTCTTTAATCAATCTTATTTTGTTTTTTTGTTTTGTTTTGTTTTTTTTAATCTTCAATCGATTTCTTTTACAACAGTTGAAAACGCGTTTGTTCGCTTCCAAAACATAGCGCGAATTTTCCAAAATAGAGCGCGAGTTTCACTGACATTGGAAAACCCAACATTACAAAGCAATAACAAAAAAAGCTCAAACTTTAAGAAACAATTGAAATATTTTATTCCGTTTTTTTTTCTGGTTTTCCTATTCTTGTTTTAAAATAGTTTGACAAGAATGCTCTCGTTATTAGTTATGTATATTTCTTGTGGGGTTTCTCAGAAGTAACAATAATGACCCTATTTTAGGGCCATTTTTGTTACTTATTAAACAAGTTAATAAACAATTAGAAAAGGTTAATGAGTGGTTTTAAAGTGACAAACTTTCTCTGAATGCTGACAAAACTAAGTTTTTATTGTTCCATAAATCAAATAAAATTGATAACATCTATTGAAATTACCAAATCTTATTATAAACAAAACTATTATTAAAAGGAAACCTTCATTAAACTTTTTTAGGCATGAAATTCGATGAAAATTTACGGTGGAATTTTCATATAAACAGTCTTAAAAAAAAAATTTCAAAAACTTTTGGAATGACTTACATAGCTAAACCATTTCTTAATTTAAAATCATTAAAAGGTTTATATTTCGCTTTTATTCATAGTTAATTAATGTATTGTAACATCGCTTGGGCAAGTGCCAATCATAAAAAGCTAAAAAAGCTTTACAATAAACAAAAACATACATATCAAATTGTATTTAGTGCTGAGAAGAACCTTACTTGTGTTTATTTGGAGCATTAAATATTCATAAAATTTATATAAATTTTATTCTAAAATTTGATATAAAAAAAATTTTAGTATAAAATTTTGATATCATTTTATATCAAATTTTTGTCTTTTAGTATAGAACTAAGTTAAAATTGTCTCTAAGAATATTTAAACCCTATTTTAGTGAAATCTGTTATAAAAACACTACAAGATTCTCGAAAAACAACTATGTTGTTCCAAAATATAGTTTGAAATTGAGCTAATACTCAATTAAGCACTGTAGGCCATATCTATAGAAAACATTCTCAGACATAACTAGTAAAAAGTTCTCTCTAGATCACAGAAAGAATTTTAAACGTTTCTTCTAATTTATGAATCAAACCATAATTTCTTTGAGTGACACAACTGCTTTAAGCGGTCAAAAAGGAGAACAGTGGTTATTTGGTTAACAAGTTGTTTAAATACAAATTAGTCTACGCCTCTTTACGTACTCTCGAGCTCCTAATAAACGTCCCCCTCCCCCCGTTTATTAATTTTGGGATATTCCCCCCCCCCCCCGTTTATAATTTTTTACTTGTTATCAACATAAAATTATACATTATCTCTAAAGTAAAATAATTTTCAGTCACCGATAAAAACAAAAACTTTCAGTGTAAACAGATTATACAAATTGTAGACCTATTAAATCTCGATTTGCTAAAAATGAACTTTTAGTTTATTTCTCAACAAAGCTTTGGTTTTAATTACAGGATTTATTATGCCCCCCCCCCCCCTTTATTAGATTTCGCCTAAAATTCCCACCCACCGTTGTATTCGGCACTCGAGAGTACGATTGTCATTTTTTTAAAACGCTTGTATTGGCAAAACAAAAAAAAAAACAAAAAAAAGCTAAATTTTCAAGTTTTTGAAAATTTACATTTACGCTTCTCAAGCCAAAATTTTCAATATAAAGTAAATAAAATTTTTATAGATGTAGAATAGGTACTTACACAGTATAATTTGCATTTTTTAAAAAAGAACAAAAAATTGTCGTGCTAATACACATACACGGTAATACAGAAAAATTTATTATTATTATCATCATCGAAGCTGTAAAATCTAATAAGATGACGACTAATAAGGCTTGATACTAAGAGTGTAGATACCAGGGGTGTGAAGTCGTAAAAAAAAGTAACAACTCCGACTCCAGTTGTTAAAATTTTTTGAGTGCAACTCCGACTCCGACTTTAAGCATTCTTTTATGTATATATATTTATATTGAACACATAGGTATACAAAAACGCGATATTTGCATAACATTCACTAACGAAATCATAGAAATCAAACAAGTTGCATTCAAATACCCTATTACATATCGTAATATTTCTCTTGCCTCCTTTAAATTTATAAACTAAAATTTAAAAATTAACAAAGAAGTTTCGTTAATCTAACAAATCCGGTTCCCCGGTTTACTAAAAAAAATATTACTTGCTATTATATATGGAACAAATATAGGGTGCATCTAATTAGTTGACGTTAAAAGAAATATAATTCTAAACAAATACATTTAGGTTTTTTTAAAAAATACATCAGTACAGTCAAATTTGCAGAACAATTTCTAAATACAACCAATTCTACAAAAAATGAATCACACTTTAACATCGAATTATAACCGCAGTAGACCATAAATACAATTAGCAATTCAACCATTTATACAAATATGAAGTTAAAAAAAATTTGCGCAAGTTGTGTCAAGTAACAAAATTTCAAACTATTTCCATAATTAATTGGCTTAACTACTCAATTTAAATCTAAAGAACAAGACAATTGATGTAATTATATTTGGGCACTATAAACAATTCTCTCAAAAACAACTAGCAAGAAAATACTTTTTAACATTTTGTATAGTCGATACAAAATATTTAATGTTATCGATAGTAATATATACTTAGGGTGATCTTGTTTTGGTTTTTATAATAACGCGATGAAAATCTTAATACAAAGTACGTTTCGCGCTGCGCTCTTCTACGTCAAACAGTTACCACGATCACCCATGTTAGAATATTTCTACTCCACATAAAAAGCAGATTAAAGTCAAAAAGAAAAAAAAAATTCAAATTAAAAAACAGCTTACATCTTTGAATTAAGTTTTTAATGTATTAAAAATTTCGCCACTATTAAAATGTATAGAAGTATTTTTAATCATAAAACTGGTATTGAAAAATGATATTTGATATTTATAGACGTTACTGGAAATATATATTTACAGACTTCACGGAAAACTTCATTTTGTACTGGACTTGAGTAACTTTTTAGGTTTTTACATAAATCTACAAAAGCCATTTATTTTTCTTCTTTCCATATAACCAATCAAGAAAGACTACCACCGAATTCGATGTTTCTTGGAAGTTCGGCGCTTTCAAAGTTATAACCGCCTTGAGCATCTAACTTGCGCGACTCTTTACGAAATATAAACAATGTTTTCAATATAATTATTACGATAATTGTTAAGACAATATAATGACAATAAACTGATTAAAAACTCAGAAATAATTCAAAAATTTAAATTTTCCCTGATATGACAAACAAGTTAAAAAAAAAAATCTTATTTTATATCTAAATAATAAACCCAACAGTAAAGTATTTGGAACTTTGAAACAAATTTTTTACATATCTTACTAATAATTCGTGAACCTTTAAGGTTTCAAGTGAACCAATTATTTATTTTAGAAGCATTTACCTCTAAAACTCTTTAAATTCATATTTATTATTAGGACACAAAAAGTCGTTTTATTCAGCGTAGTTAAGGGGAATTAGTAAAACTTAAATCAAAAAAATTTTTTTTTTTTTATCTTTAACAAATTATATCTTAGTTGTTAAATGAAATGAAAACTTTTGTTCAATACAACCACTTCTATTTGTGTTTAAAAAAATAAACAGAGTTTAAGACATTTATAAAGTTTTTGAACTTCTTTGTGGTTTTGCTCAATCGATTCGCTTCAAAATTTTAAAAACAAATTTAAAAAAATTTGGACATAATTATAGTTTAAAGGAGTTTTTACAGTGTTTAAATTTCATAAATTTCCTTAAAAAAAGTTTTTTACTCAAAGTTCACCACTTAATAATTAAAAATTAGCAACCTAATCGTTTGTCCTGCAGACCAGATATTTTACAGAATTATCTTGATTGTTTAAACAAATAACAGACTGACGACAATTTCTTTAAAAGCACCTTAACTACGCAGAATACGCTATATCTCATCAAAGAATAAATAAAAAATATCAAATAAAAGTTAAAAAAATCTCACCGAGCTTATGAGCGTTTTTAATGCCTTCGTTGATAATACCTTGAACATTAACTTTCTGCTCATCAGTCAATGACTGTGTAAGTAATGTGAACAATCGAGGATCGTTACTCTGTAAAGCTAAATATAAAGCATCAAGTAATACTAATGATAGATGTCTTAACATATATGTACTGCTCATGTAACTCTAAATGAGCTTAATGCATAACTTATAACAGTCCTTATAGCTATCGCAGTTTTCAACAAAATGTTATTGCGTAGCATCAAACAGTAAATATCCCTACTTAATTAGTTATTGTATTATTACCTTCGAATGTACTTTTAAAAGTAATATATTCATCTACATAGGGTGTGTCGTCAATAGGTGTTGTAAACATATCTAACTCGTTTGCCCAAACGTCATCATCATCGTCATCATCAAAATCAAAAACTTTTTGTCCTTCCTTTAAAATAATAAATAAATGATTAATAATGGAAATAAAAAATAAAATTATTTACTAATAAAATTAAAAACAATTTTTAAAATAAAAATAAAAGGCAAAAATTAAAAATCTTTTTAAACCTTCACTGTGATTGGTGAATAAACTTAAATATTCAGTAGGATTGACAAACCAAAGTAAACATTTACTAGGATTGGCGAATAAAAGTTTCATTTCAAACATTTATTAGGATTTAAATTTTATTAGCTTTAATTTTTATATTCACTTTAATTTTATATTCACTTCTCTCCGTTAAACTTAGCGGAGCTGAAATTCTGAAATTTTATTGCAATATTTTTAAGTAAAGAAATGACAAAAACTTAATTTAAATTACTAAGACTAATACTAAAATAAAACATTTATCTTTAAAAGTTATTTTTTTAAAGAATTTTTTTTTAAATGTAGTTAAAAGAGACTTATGAATAACGCTCTGTTAAGCTTAACGGAGAGATAAGAAACTATTCCTGATCATACTTTTAATAACTTTTACTTTTACAATGCTAAAAATAACTTTCACAATAAAATGAAATTTTCTTTGGAAAAGCATTTTTTAATAACTATAAGTGAAACCTGTAAATATTTATTTACAAGATTTACAAGACTTCACTCCAACTTAATGATTAAACGCTTTATTTTCCTTTGCAAAAAAAGCAGTAATTTGTATACTGGAAAATGACAATGCTTTCAAGATTAATATTGTACAACAACAACAACAACAACAACAACAACAACATGAGTTTTTACTATACAAAAAAAAAAAGTTTTACTTGATATATAAGTATTATATTAAACAAAATTTCTTTTAACTTTGAAAAAAATTTGATTTTTTAAAGTTTTATATAAAAAGATCATAATTTGCTTATATTTTCAACTTTTTTATAAAATTTCATTATAAAATTTTTAAATATAAATTAACCTTTTTCAATAAACTTTCTACATACTGTTGTCCTTCCTCGTCATACTCATCGTCGGAATCATTCAACTCATTGTCTATTAAAAAAAGTCAAACTTTAGAAAATAATCTAATTGATTTTTTTTTAATAATGTAATTATGATACTGTAACTAAAATTTAAATATATACCATTATCATCATCAATGTCATCTTCTTCGTCTTCAACATCTTTTGCCATTTCTATAATAATCCAAAAACAATTAAAACTCACAATTCATAAATTCTAAAGAAAACAAAAACGTAAAAGCTCATGATTTTACACAAAGACAAATACATGTATATGCCTATGTGCATATTTGGGGTGAAAGAAGTTTCATAGAAGTAGAAAACATTGACCTCTGAGCTAATTCCCTAATTTAATTGTGGGTAAGTAGTAGCATGTAAATACTGTTGTAAAATATAAATATTGTTGTAAAATGCCCACATTGTGTCAATATAAAGCCAACATTCAAATGATCTTCTGGTTCATGGACTCATATATCTAGATTCCAGAAATTTAGTCTTCAATTTGAATATCATATTTATAAACATCTGTATGTAAGTCTCCTAAATGTGAAACTGTTGATCTCCCAAAACTGATAAAAAAATCTTAACAACTTTGTTGAAAAGAAAACTGTTATTAGGTATATATAAATATCATATTTTGATAAGCATAAGATCCTATTTGGGGTTACACTAGAACAAACATCCAAATCAGTGCATAAACCCCTTACTATCATAAAAAACAAAACACTAAAAAAAGTTCAAAAAAATAAATTGAAAAAATAAGAGCTAACATTGTTGAATTCAGTTTAATAAGAAATAGTAAGAAGGTTTTCTTTGGTGACAAATTAAAATATTTTAAACACTGCACAGTTAGCCAGGTAATAGACAAAAGTAAAAAAAAAAAATACATTTTTAAAAATTACATTATTATATACCGTTTTATAGCTTAAACATAAAATTTTATAAAATCTACATATTTTTGTATAAATTTTATGTCGTATGCTTTTCAGTTGTAGAATAAAAAGCTTTTTTTTTATACATACTTTTACATATGTTTATGTATATTATCAATATAATTGTTCAGTATGTATATTATCAATATAATTGTTCAGTATGTATATTATCAATATAATTGTTCAGTATGTATATTATCAATATAATTGTTCAGTATGTATATTATCAATATAATTGTTCAGTATGTATATTATCAATATAATTGTTCAGTATGTATATTATCAATATAATTGTTCAGTATGTATATTATCAATATAATTGTTCAGTATGTATATTATCAATATAATTGTTCAGTATGTATATTATCAATATAATTGTTCAGTATGTATATTATCAATATAATTGTTCAGTATGTATATTATCAATATAATTGTTCAGTATGTATATTATCAATATAATTGTTCAGTATGTATATTATCAATATAATTGTTCAGTATGTATATTATCAATATAATTGTTCAGTATGTATATTATCAATATAATTGTTCAGTATGTATATTATCAATATAATTGTTCAGTATGTATATTATCAATATAATTGTTCAGTATGTATATTATCAATATAATTGTTCAGTATGTATATTATCAATATAATTGTTCAGTATGTGTATTATCAATATAATTGTTCAGTATGTATATTATCAATATAATTGTTCAGTATGTATATTATCAATATAAATTTGGTTTATTATCCAGAGATGCCCGCATGATGTCTAAAAATGATTTTTACAAGTTAAATGATGCATTCGATTTTATGTGGCAAAAACATTATTTTAATTTGTTATTAATACATTTTAAAATATCTATTTATAAGATTTTGTAAATGAAATTCATATTTTTATATAGTTAAAACATAAATTAATACAAAAAAACTTGAACTTAGCTAATCCTAATATTTTGGATGCAGTTGTAAATGACATAAACTTAACTGCAAATAATAACCTGTCTAATTTCATAAAGAATCTTGGACAAAGGTATATATGCAAAAACTCTAAAATTTGTTCTGAAGAGAATAACAAACAATGGCTACAAAATGACCCAATATCGTTCAATTTGTAATTGAGAATAAGAAAATTCTATTAACTGCTTCTAACTCAATTGATAAAAAAACTCTACTCTTATCCAACTATAGTATCTGGCAAGTCCCAGGTGAATTTTTGTACTTCAAGTCCCAGGTGAATTTTTGTACTTCAAGTCCCAGGTGAATTTTTGTACTTTAAGTAGTAAAACAAAGAAATTTTTGATTTGAAAAATAATTTTAAATCAAAATTTTTATATTATTATATTCATATAACGGTTTAAGCTTAAGGTTCTTTTTTATATAGATTATGTAGCAGTTTCATGAAATTCCCCCTGGGTGTTTAGCTAGAGTTAGCAAAATTAAAAGGTCCAGCCTAAATGTGACAACAGTAATCTATACAGGAATGATTAGAAGATTTAGATCTAGAGAATGAAATCAGAAGTAAGAATACAACAAGCACAAATTGGCAAGACAACCTTAATAGAGTTTTGTTTAAACTAAAATTCATCAATTACAAGCCCTAACCTGTCACAGAAGAAAGATCAGAATTGAGATGAGATTCCTGTTTGAAGCAATCAAAAGATTTGACTTTTTGTCAAGAATAGAGTATAAGGTTGGAGCATATGTTACATCATTCTAAAATAGCTAAAATCATACTCACATATTGAAAGAAAAAAAAAAAAATTCCCTAATTTTTAATACGTTAGATATTAAAAAAAAAAAAAATTATAAGAAAAAACCTAACTTACTGTCATACATATGAGCTAACCCATTAAAAACAAGAAGCAATGCAGGCACAAACTGTGGCGCAAACTCTTCAATGACTGGTGGACGGTTATCTGCAGGAAGTGCAAGCAAAACGCAAATTCCAAATATGTAGACTTTCCTGTCATGCATGCTAAATTATTAGGTACTAAATTATTTAATGCATGCATGTAAAACGTTTATAATATTTATAAATAGATTTAAAGTACTAATATACTAAGGATTGTAATTATTAAAAAGACAAAAACTTTAACAGAATACTCAGGGCTCAAATTAATGCAAAAAAATGTAATCGTGAAAAATTTTTTTTTGCTAATCAAATCTCAAATCTAGAGTTATTTTATTATATAAAACACATTTTAGATGGTACTTAGCTCTTGTTTTGGAACCATCTAATTATTCAACTATAATAATCTATTTATAAATATAACAGACTCAAACAAATTTAAAAGTATACTTTTCAATTTAAGCATTTATGTTATTTTAATACAAACCAATCTCACCCAAGAAAACAATCGGTATCACTAAGCCACTGTGACAAAAACTGTGTAAACATATTTTGTTGAGATGTTGAATTTTGGAGATGACTCAGATGTGAAATAACAAGAACTGGATTACTGATTATACTTGCAATTATCTAGTAAAAAAAATAAATAAAAACATTTTCACAATCTTCATATAAAAATAAATAAAGATATATCTTTATATGATATCTAAGCAAATTGTATAACCATTTCCTTGGACAAAACTTCTCTTTGTGTTGTAATTGGTTTATAGAAGTTTTAGAATGATATTGTTTCTATTTTAAATTAACAAAATCTGAGACAGAACTAACTCTTTTCTAAACAAACGTTTTTTATTGTAAATAATTTTATTCTCTTGTAACAATATTTTTAAGTAAATAATTAGCATAACATTTGGTTATGAGGGAATAAATATATCTCAAGAAATTTATTCAACTTTAAGAAAAATTTAGAGAACAAATTGTTTTAATTTTCACAATTTATTCAACTTTCTCTTTATCTCTATTCTGCAGATAAAAACTTAAATAAACATGCAGAAAATAAGAATACAAAAGTTAACACAAATAATTAAAATCAAAGACGTTTATGTATGCTTAGGTATTCACTTACATTCTTTTTTTAAATTTTTTAAAAAATATTTAAAACTTTTTAGCACTATTATTAAACTTTTACTTACCACTTGTAACAACATGACTCTAAGCTCACTTGTTTTTAACTCAAGTGTCAGCCGTTCCAAACACAAAGAAATGAATGCCGGTAACCACTGAAGAAATTAAAGTGAATTTATAGTAAAGAGTATTAAAATTGCTGGTTTGATTATAAATGTGTGTTAATTCAAATATAAAATAAAAAACTATAACATTAACAAATGCGCAAAAATAAAAAAATAAAATTTTTATTACCTGGTCAAAAGTTCCTCTATATTGTAAAACACAAACTTCGAGTAATTTAGCAGCCTGACATTGTGCTCCTTCTCCTGAATACTCAATAAGCATCTGAATTAAACAAAAAGTCTTAAACTGTATATATGGCCTTCTAATAAATTGTAATAAAAACAATTGTTAACAAAAATAAAATAAAAAGCCTAATGTTTTAAAGCACATAATAAACTGAGCACACTTTTCATAGTCATAAATTGAATCAAAAATTTAGTAATTTACAGAACCAAACATTTTGATCTTTTTGCTTTACAACTGATTTGTTATCAGAAACAAAAGATAATAACCAAACAGTAAAGAACAGTAAAAACCATAATTAACTATTATTAGATCAAATCTTACATAAAAATAGTAATAAAATGCCCAAAGAAAATTGTTTTCTAGAATACCTTAAGCAAATGTGAAAAACATTTCTTTAAATATAAAACTTTTGGAAATTTATAGTTATTTTGGAAGTTTTATATTATTTAGTTTTAAAAAAATTAATTTAGAGCATAATCACTTTTAAATGACCAAAAACTTTCTTAACTATAAAGTTGGATTTTTTTTTTTAATTAAAAACATCTTTAAAATTTTCTGTTTTTATTATTTTACAAGTTTCTTTTTTTTTAAAAAATATAATTTTATCGACTGAATTTTTGAGAGCTGAGCACAAAATGTACATTTATTAATTTATTTAGTCATAGGTGCAGTTTAATTTACATACATTGACTGAGGGTTTTGGTTCAGGCAAGAAGTCTACTAATTTTCTTTTTTAATTTTTTTTAACTTTTTCACATTTGGAAATAAAGATGCCTAATTGGAAAAATTAAATTGTACAAAATATACTAGAAGAGTACCACCTAAATCCACTGGGATAACAACAATTTAAAATATAATTTACTGATGTCATCACAAAAACTGATTTTCTGTTGTCACAAAAATTCACAGTGAGCCAGTTCTTTGATTGATTGTCTGCATTATTTCATCCTCATTGCTTTTGTGACAAAAACAACATTGTGATTGCTTTGTAATAAAAGCACCATTGTGATTGGTTTGTGATAAAAACACCAATGTAACTGGTTTGTAGTAAAAATATCATTGTGATTGTTTTGTGATAAAAGCATCGTTTTGATTGTTTTGGTATTTGGTTTTGTACCAAATATAATAATTTATAATAATAAACTATTAACTATTATTACTATAATAATTATAATAGTATTAGAAGTAAAAAAATTATAATAAAATAGTATTATAAAAAATCAAACCTATTAATTCAATTTTGAGAACTTTTTTAATAATAACAAAAAATAAAATAAATTTTACCTTATTACACATGTTAAAAATTGCTTCACAGTATTTTGGTCGAGCCAAAAATGCTTCTGGGTCAACGGTAACATAGTTATGCAAACAAGGCATCATTTCTAAAAAATTAGAGTAACCAATAAAATTAAAGTAATCAATAAACTGGTTTATTTAATAGTTGAAGAGACTTCAGGAAAATTAAACATTTAAAGAGGGTTATATTAAAGAATGTAAATAATTAAACACAAATGTTTGATTGAAAAACTTTTAAGTAATTTAGTATGCATATTAACATGGATATTTAACTTATCAGAAATACTCTAATTTATCAATGTTTTTTTTTTTTTAATTTACACTTATATTGCTTATATTTATTATCTATGAAGACCTTGCTGTCTTGTAAGATTCATTTTTATAAGAAAAAGCTAGCATAAGTTAACTCTGATTTTAAAAACACTCTGACTTAAGACATTTGGTTGAGTAAAGGGAAGAGATAGTGTCTTAACAAAAACAATCACGCAGAGAGGATTTTAACAACATTAGGCTATTATCTTATAAAAGCTTTTTAGGCAAAACTTAAGAGGCAACAAGAAAATTTGTTTACATGCCCAGCACACCTTTTTTATCTAATAGACTGATCTAGGTGTAATTCTCTGATACATTTCCTTCATAAGATAATTGATGTTGGATGTTTTTGATATTGTGTCTCCATGGTAGTGGCGATGCATCTGCTTCTGTTATGAGGTACAGTTTATTAAGTTTAAAAGGCTAACTGATAGTTTCCTGCTGTACTGATAGTAGCCGATAGTCTCCTGCTATTTTTGGTAGCTTTCAAATAGACTGAATTTCTTTAGTAAAATGTCAGAACATTAACAGCCATGTTTTGTAGATAAAGTGTCTATGTTAGAGCTTTTAGTGTGCATTGTTAAAGCCACATATGGAGCTCTTTGTTATGATTTTAGGTTAATCAGCAGGAAAAAAACTACTGCATAGCTTATTGCCTTGGGTGCCATGTACTATTTATGACTGATTTCTGTCATAAATAAATAAAATTGTCAAGTTCTCCATTAATTTAAAACACAAATAAACCTCAAACTATTAAACAAAAAAAGAATGATTTTCATTAAATGGTTTTAATTTATCCTTTACAAAAATTTGTGGTCTTCAAAGTAATCTTTCATATGTTGAACCTTTGAACTTTTTATAATAATCACTAGACTTATTAGGAATAACTTTCATCTGCTTCATCTTTGAATCTTAATATTGATGGTTATTATCCTTTGATTTTCAAAGACAAATACAGTCAAATGTTAAGTGGAGAAAAATTTTTATTAACTTGGAAGGAAAAATGTAAACAAATTGGAAGGAAAGTTGAAAAGAACGTAAAGCTCTTTTGCTTCTAAAATACTGGTTTCCAGGATTGCTTAAAAATCTCATGAATAAAACTGAAGAACCTGATTGTGAAAGTCTAAAATTTGAAAAAAACTAGATTATTTCCCACTTGATTGATAACAGGTGCTAAATAGACTTTTTAAAAGAACATTTACAAATGAAAATGTCACTGTAGAAATAGGTTCTCTTTTCAGTGAATTTTTAATACAACATTCATACAAGAATTGAAGCATAAGGCAATGATGATATATCATCATTGCCTTATGCTTCAATCACATAAAAAAACAACAATTCTCTAACCAAGGAAAAAGTAAACAAAAACATTAATTGATGTTACTAACAACATATGGCTTTAAAGTATTTTTCAATTGAATTTTTAAAATGAAGTTTTATATCAAAGAACCAGTGTTTTCTATTTGTTTTATTGTAGTATTATTTATGAACTTTATGACTATAATTAAAAAAAATCATTTTAGATATTAAAATGTCTAATTTTTAAATATTTGCAATGTCTCTTTGATATACTTAGAAAATAAAAACCATTTGTAATTAATCATTTGTAACAAATCATTTTTAAGGTGTTCTAGTATTGTATATACTGATAAACAATGGGAAATTAGTCTGCAAATCAGTAATTTAGCAAAAAGTAGTAGATCACAAATTTTAATTAAGAGACAAGTGTCAACGTTATAAAGAAATGTTAACATCATCCAGAAACATCTCAAAGAAAATGAGCAGTGTTGGAGTGAATTCAATTCAAATGAATTCAATTCACGAATTCAATTCATTTCTTTGAATTGTGAATTTGAATTGAATTCAATTTTCTGTTGATGAATTTGAATTTTAATTCAATTCATTTCCCGTTTGAATTTGTAAATAAAATTAATTGAAATTCAAATTCATTCATTTTAAAATTAAAATCAGACATTGTACAAAGAAAAAATAGGATAAATAAAATCTGCTCCACTTGTTTCGTGTTCTGTCACGTAGCCGTTGTTTACAAAAAACGATGCATTATTGAGTTGACAGGACTATGTTCTATTTTCCTGACTGTCATGTCACAAATAAATGTTAATGTAATAAATTAATAAAAAATTTTTGAATTTGAATTGAATGGAAATTAGTGTCAATGAATTTGAATTGAATTCATTCTATTTTCAACGAATTTGAATTCAATTCGTTTCATTCTAAGTGAATTTGAATTTGATTTGAATTCATTTTAAAAGTGAATTAATCCAACACTAAAAATGAGTGATAAAATATGGTGTCTCACGAGGTTGAATTACCAATTTGTTGAAATTAAATTAGCAATACAAAAAGAGAGGTGCTATCCCAACTATATGTTGGGATATGTAAGAAACATATGTAAGAAATAGTTAAAAAAATAACTCACCACCACTATATAGATAATTTTGACCCACCTTTAAAATTAAAATAAAAGGGGTCATGATTATAATTAATTTTTTTAAATTTTAATGGTTTTTTTTTTTTTTTTTGGCATCATGCATATCTAATAAAAATTATTTTAACATATGAATTATTCATAACTTTTATGTTAAATTAGATGAAAAACAACACAAGGCCAGAAACTTGTGGTATCCCAAATATTATTAAAGTTAAGAATAATGCTGTCCATCAAGGACAACTTTAATACTGCATTTAAAACGCTTTAATATCTTTTGAATTATTACAAATTGTAACATTTTCATGGTAAAAAAAAAAATATCAAAAAAATATCTGATTTCTTATTGAAATTTTAAGATATAAAGTTTTTAAAATAATCATTCTTTATCTAAAACTGTCCCATTGACATTAAATTTTAATTGGGGACGCCTACAGTACATACAACAGTAACAATGTTCTATTTAAAGAAACAACAGAACTTGAACATAAAAAAAATAAAATAACCAACTCAAAAAAACAAACTTGTGGTAAGAATATGTAACTGATAAAATCCATTGCTGTAAATAAAAGCTGCTTTTATATAGTTGTGCAATAGTTTTTTTTTTTTTTTTTAATAGAAAATCAAGAATAATACTTACCAGTAAAATAGTCAGATGCATCCCTGTGAAAGGTTTCATAAAGCAGAAACAACATATTCCACATGGTGTTGGAAATTTGAATTGCTGTACATTCAGTGATTAAGGAAAACACTTCTTCATAGTACTCTGTAATTAAAATTCATATAAATTTATTTTGACGTTAAGGTTAAAAGGAAAAAAAGAAAACACTTTTATAAGTTATGTTTTGATACTATTAAACTGATAAAAAAAATTTTTAGGAGTCATATCTTGATACTACTAAACTGATAAAATTTTTTTTTAGGAGTTATATCTTGATACTATTAAAGTTAGTATCTAATATTACAGACAAAATTATCCTTAGTTAAACATTAAAAAGTTAAACATTAACATTGGTCTTAAATTTAAACATTAACATTAGTCTTAAATAGGAGAGTTTAAATGAGGAACTTTAAAATATTCTAATAACTTTTAAGATGTTTTGTTATTTATCAGTATTTATCGGATAAAAAGATTTTCACTCAACAAAAACATTTTGTTAGAAAATTTTAAAAAAGGGTTAAAAAAAATAGTAGAAGAGGGTTAGAAAAAATAATAGAAGGTTAGAAAAAATAATAGAAGGTTAGAAAAAATAATAGAAATTTAGAAAAAATAGTATAAGAAAGTTAGAAAAAATAGGAGAGGGTTAGGGTTGCTATCAAGTAGCCTTTCTTGACAGTAACCTTCTGGAGCCTTAAAAAAATGAATTTAATATTATTAAAAAAAAGATACAAGATATAAATATTATGCAAGAAAAAAGAAATACAATATTGTCAACTTATATGTAATATGCAAGTAATATATAAGCAATATTTATGTTTATTTATTATGCAAGTGATATATTAAGTTATTCAACAACATTTCCTGATGATTACTTACCAAGTTATTAAACTATAATAAAACTTGTTAAAAAAAATATGTAATAATATAAAATAAAATAATAAAAGAGAAAACTAAATTTCAAAAAGAGTTATACCCATTAGCTCTTTCTGTAAGACACCTTGAATCAAACTTATGACTTGTAGTTCTAACTGTGACATAATCTAAAATAGATGTTTCAAAACAATTATATCTATGAAAGTTATGTGAATTTAAAAAATCTATTTTAGGAGCAAAAATAACATTGCAATACTCTGTACTGTTAGTGATCAAGAAAAAGTTTAATATATCAATCTAAATATTAAACACACTTAGATAAATCTAAATATTAAACACGCTATAAATACAACCTTGTAAAATGGAATAGAAACAATTTTACTATTTTTATAACTATTTTTATTTCATGTTTCCATAAAAATATAGCAGGCCTAAGGATGAATGATAGTTGCAAAAACATAATTTTTATCATAGCTCTAACAAAAATAAAACCTCTTCACCACGATGAAACCAATATACCCTTTGTGTCATCATGGCAAAGGAGGTAGTAACTTTGCTGCTATGTTAGAACCTAAACTAGAGCCTTGATACTATAATATTTTATTACATTTTTAATGCAAATTTGACATCATTATGATGACCATTATTTAGGTCAACAGTTTTTATCAAACATTTTTTTTTTCATCTAGAATGCTTTTAATGTTTTAAAGTTTTTAGCTATACTTAATATAACAATAAAATTATTGTCAACTATTGTTTGTGTCTAATATTATTCTTTGCTTCCTCACAAATATGTTGGTTTTTTTTTGTAGTTCTTCTACTAAACAGACTTTTTCTTCAAGTACTTCATATTTCTTTACAAGGATTTCCTGCACCATAGCGAAGTTTTAAATGAAGCTTCAACAAGTCACTATAGGGAATGGTATCGGTGTGAAATTTTAAAATGCAAGATTTGGCTTTGTCAAACAATGCATACCTAAACAATATGTAAAGGCACCAAGTTTTATGCAGCAAAAAATGCTGCACATGAACAACTCAACTTCTAGATTTAAAAAATCAACTCTTGACTATTTTAATTAACCCCACTTAACCCCATTCTTTTTATGAAATGAATAAAATTATTTTTTTAATCAAAGGAAATGTTCTTAGTAATTTGTTAATGGAAATATTAATTGTCATCTCTCGTTAAGGGGATTCTTTTTTATAATCATATACAATTTATGCAATTACCTTACGGAAATATTTTTTGTCATCATTTGATGAAATTTTGTTTTGTAACCTTTAATCAAATCTTCTTTAACCAAATTATTTTTTTATTTAAAAACTTCTTTTATAAAAAAAGAAAAAGTTAAAACCTTAAGTAGTATAGTACCTCAGGAGAGCCATCAAGTTCACCAACAACAATTTCTATAGTTTCTAGAATACCCATCGCTGTGACAGATTTACTGTCATAATCTTCTTCACTCTCTACCAGACTGTTAAAGGTTTCGGCCTAAAATACAAATAAATAACACAAATTAAAAAAGAATACTTTTAGCAATTAAATAATATTAAAAACCTAAAATACAAGGTCAATAAAAAACAACCTGATAAAAAAAAATATATAATAATTATATAATTCCAAGGGTATATAAAAAACTATATGTATTTAATGTATTTTTCAGAAACTTCTCTGCGCTTATCTAATCAAAGTCTTCTAAAAACTTACGCTTCTCGCTTATGCATACACAACTTTAAATGTTTAACAAATTAATATTTATTATATTTTATAATTATAAATATTTTATAATTAATACTTTACTGCATGGATTTAAAAAAAGCCATATTAAATTAATATAACACATGCACCTGATTTAAAATGTGACTTTTTTTGTGAATTTTTTTTTTTCTTTCCCTGATCACAATAATGGAAACATTACTCATTATAAGGGATGTACTGGATTTTTGTTCTGGAAGGAATTTGTAACTTTTAGTTCATTTTGGATGAAGGCAACGAAAAACTAGTGATAAACCTAGATTAAAAATTCAAATTTCTAAATGAATACAATATAATTTTATTTGCAACAATCAATTATGCAAGAATTTATAGAAGTTTAGGAATATTGTGGTAAAAAAAGAGTTGTTCTCCAGTTTTTGGCATCAAACTTTTTTTTTTATTTATCAAAAATGTTTCCTGCCTCTGTCAATATTGCTATGTATTAAAAACTTAAGATTATAAACATAAAAGAAATAGCAAATAAACTTGACGAAAATTTAAAATAAAAGTTAATTAAAATTATTTCAGCAAATATAATAGCGTTGTCATTTGGAATAATAGTGAGATTGAGAAAGAAGGCAAAAAGAATGACATTGAAGAAACCAAATATTATGTTAGTTATAATAAAGAATTCCTAAATACCTAAAACACAGCAAGAATGTTTCATTAAAGTAAGTAACTTTATTGTGTTTTTCTAGAAATATATAAAAAACATCTTAAGGCGTTATGAAAAAAGCTGTTAAGTCAACACAACAAATTAATATTCAAAAAAGCAAGAGAAGATGCTGAATATAAAACTGATTTGATTGAAATTTTATGTTCATCTGATAAAAGCTTTGCTAAATCACTAGAGAAAGTAAAAATTCCAAGAGTAAATCACTAGAGAAAGTGTAAGCACATGCTATTTCCAAGGGCAATAGCATGTGCTGTTTTATTGAAAGTTATAACAATGTTACCTGTTTAACAACAATAAGACCACAATAAAAACCTTAAATGACATATTTCCAAAAACTTCAAGATCGACAAAACTTTTAATAAACGCATTTTAATGATTTTTCTCTGTGACTCAGCATCTGTTATTATGTAAAATGTAGTTTTGAAAGCAAATTAAAAATAATTATTTAAAATTATTAATTAAAAAAAATTTAAACTCATCCACTCATGCTTTTAGTAAGGGTCAAATTTTGCATTTAGGTTATTCAAAATTTTATTTGTTTGTCTACTATGTAGATTTTATTTTATGTCTTTAAAAATCTTAAATTAATGGAATTAAAATATTAACATTTTTGTTATTATTTTATAATAACACATATGTTATTATTAAATAATTAATAACAATTTTGAGTCTTTTTATCTGTATTTTAAATTTAACAATTTAAATAGATGATGTAATCATAAAATGACAACTTTTCATAGATATATTTTATACTTAAAGGTTTAAATCTAGTTTTTTAAATTTATTTTAAAGCTTTTACCAAACTTAAAATCAATGCAGTAGTTGTGTAGTGGTAGAGCGCTCGCTTCATAAGCAAGAAGTACTGATTTCCCATTAAGTCCCTGATAGTACCTCACTCAGCTTGTTACACTACGCAGCAGCCTTGTTTGTTATAGTTTGTTTTTTGGAGTTATAAAGTTGAGAAGTTAAAAACAAAAATCTAATTAAGCCTCCTCAATTGTATTGTCCTCCTCAGCTTTAGGGAGAAGAATAACATTAAAAATAATAATAATAATAATAATCAGACAAAAAAAATCTGAAAAAACAAAATTTAAACAGGTGGTCTAAGGAGACCAAAGTGAGATGTAGTTATTTTGATAAAACTTTTTAAATGATAAGACATACCCCATTATAATTAGCAACAATAGCACTCACACATTAAAATTTTTGGGCAAATTTTAGAACTAAAACTATTTTATATTTATAAAAATGCTACTTTTGTGGAAAGTCTTTATCCAATACAAATATGTTTATCGAGTTTTTATTATTTTACTTCCGTACTAATTACTTTATTACTTTTATTATTATTATATTTTTTATTAATAAATGTTTAAAAATATTTAAACCTAAGTTTTAAACTTTTTTTAAATTTAAATTTTTTTTTATAAACTGATGGTTATACATTGTTTTGATATTTGATAAGTTTTTTCTGAAATTTGGTATTTGTGATTTGGTAGGTATATAGTTATTATTTTATCGATTATTTATTTGATTTTATTTAGAAGAGATTTTGGAATGATTTTATAGAGCATTCTCAAGCCTATTCTTTTTTTTTTGTATAAAAACAAAAAAACTTTCAACACGAAAAAACATTAACAAAAACAGCTGCAACATGTTGACTGCCAGGTATGAGGCAATTGATCACTCAATACAACTTTTCATTTACAAAGGAGACTTCTTAACACACTTGATATATAATATTTATTAACATATTAAGGCTGTTTAAAATATCATGAAAATAATCTGCTCACTGTATTGATGTTAAAATCACTGATTTTGTCCATCACTGGTAGGTCAATTGGAATAAATTTTATTTTGCATTACTTATTGTTTATTATCATTATTATTATTATTATTGTTTTTATTATTACATTAATATTAAACTTTAAAAATTTATCTAAATGACAAGTACTAAAGTTACAAAATATAGGTTGTCAACTAAAAAAGGCTGTTACTTTACATACATTATTTATATTTTATAAATT